TGGTGGTGGTGGTGGTGGTGGTGACGGCGACGACAACAATGGTAATGGTGACGATGAAGATGGTGGTGGTGATGGCAACGACGACGATGACCGTGATAGTGGTAGTAGTAGAGGTAGTGGTGGGGAGGCTTTAAACACTATTTTTTTTAAAGTATTTATGAGAAATAATTTCTAAAAATACTTTTAAAAAAACACTTTAAACACACTTAGAATCCTATTTTTTCTATTAAATTTAGAGTGTTAATATTAATCGTTAAATTAACTTTAAAATAAAATTTAAAGCGATCTGAATCTCAAAAAATAAAAGTCATTTTATTTATCTTTTGAAATTTAAATTGCATGTGAAACTTCTATTTCATTCAATTGTACAAATATTTAATTCTAACAATCATTATCTAATTAAATATGAAAGTAATTATGAAATATCAACAATCTTTTTTTGTTTTTTTGTATATAAATTTAGCTATTTCAAAATAGATATGCACACTTCTATATTTTTTATATTTTTCACTACTATTTTATTTCTCTAAGCAATATAAAAAAGGTGTCGCGTGAACTTTTGTTCTTACAATTAAACAAATATAAGTGAAACAACAATCAATTAGACCGATGCACCTCACTCTACCATTCCCTTTATCTTTTTATCTTTTGAATTCATATTTCCAACAATATCTTTCCATTCGAACTATCCTAACGGGTTATAACTTCCTCCTCGAACCAATGATTAAATTAGACCGTGGAATACGATAGAGGTTTTTTAGAGATGCAAGGATACATGCAACTCAACCACCTTTGACCTTTCAATGAGCAGCACTCTCTCGGCATCATCGCTTGAACAATAAGCCGTCCAACCTGCTTCTTGTTGTCTCTTTCACCAAGTTTCTCCCTTCCTTTGCTTGGCGATCAACACAATAACGTCTCACAGCAAACCAGCCATTCAGTGCGAAAGTTGATCGGCATTGTAACCACGGTAGGAGATATACAGCTTTCTTCAATGAAAGGAGCGAGAAAATCCAAGAAGTATTTACTTCACCGCCCTCTGATCATGGCAAGTACAGTATTTTCTCGATGAATCATGGATAGCGAGCACCCTAACTCGAGAACTAGGCGGTTTCGCAAATGGTTTACTTGGAAGCTCAAGAGATCCGACCAGTTTCGTGATGGTGAAATTTCAGGTTTGAGTGTTCGGATCTTCTTTGTCATGTTATTCTAATCTATATGCAAAGGACTTTATTCAATGGCGTTCTAGCTGTTTCAAATACTTGGTTTTTCGCAGATGGGGATGAAGAGGATAAAGGCGAGGACATGGATGACATTGTTAGGTCTTTGGAGAAGGATCGATGCATTTTAACCAATGAACTGAGGTAATGTTTTGGCCAACCATTGTAATAATAGTAGAGTTGAGGAATTTGATGTACATGTTTGAATTCCAGAGTCTTCGTTGGTACATGGAATGTTGCCGGACGATCTCCTATAGGGAGCTTGGCTGTAGATTTGGATGAATGGTTGAATCTCAAAGACGCTGCCGACATTTATGTTCTCGGGTATGGGAAATTAAATTTATCAAAATATTTTGCTCCACAAGTAACTCTATGCCAAAAAATGTTACCTAACAGGAAAACCAATCTCCTTGCAGATTTCAAGAGATTGTCCCTTTAAATACCATGAATGTAATTGGAGCACAAGACCCAACAGAAGCAACAAACTGGAACCTGCTTATTGGAAAAACCATCAACGAAAAATATGGCTGCCCTTGGTTAACACCTATGTTGAATCCTATCACAAGTGACAATTATCATTATGTGGGAGGTCCCGAATCTGAAAGAAGAGTCTCTGTTAGCAGCCTGCCCTCAACTCCAATTAGAGGGCAGGCTAGCATCCAACAAAAAGAGCCAAATAGAGGCAGCAGGTACAAGCTCATGGCAAGCAAGAAGATGGTTGGAGTCTTCATAAGTGTATGGATGAAGAGGGCATTGCTCAAGCAGTACCACATATCAGGGGTGAAAGTTTGTTCAGTGGCTTGTGGTATCTTGGGTTATTTGGGAAACAAAGGTTCAGTATCAGTGACCATGTCAATTGAAGGAACTAGCTTTTGCTTCATCGCTGCCCACTTAGCTTCTGGCGAGAAGAAAGGCGACGAGCGGAGAAGGAATCATCAAGTCTCCGAAATTTTTAGGCGGACTTTGTTCCCACGACGACCTCAAGATGGTNACTAGCTTTTGCTTCATCGCTGCCCACTTAGCTTCTGGCGAGAAGAAAGGCGACGAGGGGAGAAGGAATCATCAAGTCTCCGAAATTTTTAGGCGGACTTTGTTCCCACGACGACCTCAAGATGGTGATAATTACTATCCCCTCACCATCTTAGGACACGAGTAAGTAATGTATGAACACAAGGGAAAGTTTTTGAACTCCGAATCTAAATTTCTGTAGTATCATAGCATTTGGACCAAATTTAAAGAAAAGACTAAATTAAATACCTAGAGGTAGATGATAATAGAGAACCAAGACATGGAAGTAAAATAATAAATACAGCATGAAGCCAGATATTTCATCTCTGATGATAGGATGTATATCTTGTGGAACAGTCGGATATTCTGGTTTGGGGATCTCAACTACAGATTATACTTGGAAGACATTTTAGCCAGGCAGCTAATAAAGCAAAAAGACTGGAGAGCACTACAAGAGGTTGATCAGCTTCAGAGGGAACTAGCAGATGGTGGAGTATTCCAAGGCTGGAAGGAGGGAAACATAGAATTTGCACCTACATACAAGTATTCTTCATCTAATTGTAATCGGTATTCGGGTGGACTTCCAAACAGAGTTGGAGAGAAGCAAAGAACTCCAGCATGGTAAATTGATCAATAACGATCTTGGTCTTTGATGCAAATACTAGTATACAGCACGTCTTGTCAGATCCATGTTTTGCATAAAAATCGTAATTTTGTAAAATATAGGGCCTAGATGAATCTACATTTCTTCTCAAGTTCAGGCTTGGGCTAAGTAGCAGGTGCAGGCTGAATATTTTTATGCATTACAGATCGCTAACGTCTACTTAGCTTCATGTGGACAATGGATGAAACATATTGTTCTCGATGGCAGGTGTGACAGGATTCTATGGTATGGTAAAGGAGTGAAACAAATCTCATATTTCCGCAGTGAGAGTAAGTTCTCTGATCATCGGCCTGTCTCTGCACTCTTCACCACAAAAATTGAAGTTACCAAGTCTGCCAATCCAAGGGTTGTTGTACCATTACCCATTGTCCCTACCAAGACAATTTCTCACCAAACCGTAAGTACTCTATAATTCTGTCATTGTCTTGAATAAGACATTGTATATGTACATCCTTTCAAAGACACAGTACTAATGAGGTGGAAACCAGAGAGTAAATTTCAAAGAGCAATTCTAAATTTTAGTACTGTGGTTATTCTAATGTCAGGAACAGCATAAGGCTCACAAAGAGGCTACATCCACCTTACTATCTTTGATCGTAAAGGATAAAGTAGCATCGCCAACATACAAGCACACTAATAGAACAAAGAGATGACAGTTGATGGAGCTGTGTTTTATTAGTTTCAATGTCAGACTGGTTTGTTGGGCATAGAATTGCAATATCTTCCTTCCACCTATATGTTTCGCCAACCAAAAGCTAAAAATATTTCTCCTAGTGACTTGGCAACATAAGTCGCATTTCAAATGCAAGGTATACAGATACTAAAGTAACTGTATGTAGTATTATTTAATATTACCCATATAAAATTGCATTTTTAGTGATAAGACGATGTATTATCTCAAGCCAAGTATAATGGGTTTGAGCATTAGCATTTGACCATTTATATGAATTTGATGACAACTAAACAAAGACGAAGGATCCAATTGAAAATACTAGGACACAAACAAATTAGTTCAAAACAATCAAGAGTACCCAGTCTTACCTTTGCACAAAATGGCCTTCAGTTTACCAGAACATCGAGCTTAAACTTCACTTGCTAGAGCCAATTTCAACCATTAAACGTACCTGTAGAATACCTCATTTACAGTGCTTCCTCATACCAATAAGTTCAAAAATAAGTATCTGCTGTAGGGTACTACATACATGAAATTATGTCCCATCGCTTGCCTGAAGCATGCTTCCACCCAATGCCTCTATGTTGTCTCGATGACAACTGGGACATAAACACCTCCTCTGCAGGTCGTTACTGAGGGAAGCATACAGGTTTTCGTATTCAGAAGTCTGCTTGTTTCCAGTTAAAGCCACATTTACTGAAAATGATCTTATGTGACATGGATTGGAGATTGTAGTGAAAACAAGGAATTTTAAACAATTTTTAACCACTTGAGGGTTCGGATTATGTCATTTCTTTCCCCCTCCTCTTGGCAACCAAAGAGACCAGGTTTCTGTATTTGTCCAGATTCCAGGGGAGAGACAGAAATATACACCCAGGTAAAGTTTCTTACTGTCTTTGTGCAAATAATGCCAATAGTTAGATCTGTACGCAACCTACCCCGCCCAACCCCCATTAATGGAAACTAATCTGGATGTTATTTAGATTTATCCCTTCTTTATTCTAAGGGACACTCTAATATATATCTACTATTGCATCTAGTAATTTGAATTGCACATTTATAAAAGCATAGTAACAGTTGAGATTAATCCAATTTTGTCTAACGATACAAAATTCATTCCAAAAAAAAAAATTTTGGCCCAAAAACATTATATTTTCTACACGGCTGCCAATGTCAAACAACCCAACTAACACACTCCCTAATACCAAATAACCCNCAGTTGAGATTAATCCAATTTTGTCTAACGATACAAAATTCATTCCAAAAAAAAAAAATTTGGCCCAAAAACATTATATTTTCTACACGGCTCCCAATGTCAAACAACCCAACTAACACACTCCCTAATACCAAATAACCCCACTAACCCACCTACCTCTCTCCCCTATGTGTCTCTTTTATTCTTTCTATCCACTCTAATTTTAAATTATGTAATTAAAGGGAAAAAGATAAAAATAATTTATTATGTAAAATATAAACATTGCACGATTAATGCTCAGTTTTTGGTATTGCAGCATATATTGACACACGGGATTATTGCTTGTGCTTATATAATGCCCATTCTATAAGAGTCTATCATGCAATTGCAATAAAATCAGGTAAGGATATCTGGTCAATTCCTGCAATTCCATACTTTCTTTCATAATTGCCTCCATCAATGATAGTTTCCTCTCCAAATCAATCAACTCTTGCTGGACCTGATAAGACCCAAGCAATCCAATCCTATCCAATTATCTTCTAGAAAACCTTAATGCATATACATATATCACTTGAATATGTACGAATATATCAGCAAAATAAAGAAAAACACAACAATAGGAGTAATGTTTTGCCAAATCAGAGTGAAATAAACAAAGCAGATGGGAAACATTGCATGGAAATAATCCTTTTCAAGTACAGACACCTACTTCGCACCTGTTTATGAGTATTTTGTTCTGCTTGGTATTCTTGTTCCTGGATATTGGTTTGAGAGATTATTTGCTGAAGCTGATCCTCAATAGCACGTCTGGCAACTTCAGTATCTCGCGTATTAGAAGGTTGGGCTCCTGCTTTTAGAAGAAAGTTATAATATATTTAAGCTTTCAAAAGAGACATAAATTAAGCAAATACCAGATATGCCAAGAGCCTAAAATTGGTTTCGACAAAGGAAGGGGGGGGGGGCGTGTTTAGGGGACAATAGAAGACAGGACCAGTTACAACATAAATGCTAAAATTTAAGGTCTACCATACAAATTTCTTCTAAGTCCCGTGCATAAAGAAGCAATAAGACAAGACGGGTTATTTCCCCCATAGAATGGACATCATTATCTCCTGATAAACTAAAACCAAAAGTTCCATGTTTTCTTAATGAAGATTTTTCTATATTTGGCATGCCATTACACAGTCAGTTTCTTAGAAGTGAATGCCTCAACTTTATGACAACTGATAATTAACAAAGCAAGTACAGACCATCTGTTGATATTGATCCACTCAAGTTCTCTTCATGGAAAGCACAAACCACTGTCTCTTGGAATTTTCTGCATGAGAAGGTGATAGGAAATTACCAAATATCTCCGATTAGGAAATATCACGATGCACTGTTTAACTTAATATAGCTCAATTACAACAATCAAGTGACATCAGTTTATCAAGAAGGATAGCGGCTAAAGAAAAAACAATCAAGTTTGTTAGAAGTTCTTGGTACGTTGTTGTATTTGTGTCGGGGCCAACTAAGCTATCTTAATATACCATCTCTCAAGTTGGATATGTTCTGTGGGGCTGGAGTGTTTTTTAAGGCCATGCTGACATATTGTACAGCGCATCCAATTAAATTCCAGGTCTCAAAAACCATACTAGTGAAGGGACCATATAAACCTCATTGCCAATAATTCACCTCCTGCCATCTGTAATAGGCACTGGTAATGCTAGTGCTCCTTCATTATTCCTCTATTGCTTATACTGTATGATCCCAGGATAGTACTTAAAGAAAGCAATTCATGTTGTCGCCAAATAACAAAGCATGACGGGCACAGAGAAGCTGCACATAGTTATATGCAGCTCCAGGAGGATGTTTGGAGGTAAAATTGTGATTTCAAGCCTCTAGCATGTTGCACAAAAGAGTCATAAATAGAGAGGTGCTAACAATCNGGCCATGCTGACATATTGTACAGCGCATCCAATTAAATTCCAGGTCTCAAAAACCATACTAGTGAAGGGACCATATAAACCTCATTGCCAATAATTCACCTCCTGCCATCTGTAATAGGCACTGGTAATGCTAGTGCTCCTTCATTATTCCTCTATTGCTTATACTGTATGATCCCAGGATAGTACTTAAAGAAAGCAATTCATGTTGTCGCCAAATAACAAAGCATGACAGGCACAGAGAAGCTGCACATAGTTATATGCAGCTCCAGGAGGATGTTTGGAGGTAAAATTGTGATGTCAAGCCTCTAGCATGTTGCACAAAAGAGTCATAAATAGAGAGGTGCTAACAATTTTAGGACAGATACAAAGATCTGCAAGCATTCAGAATCTATAAACAAGATGAACTAAGCTACGTTTCGCAAAGAAAATGAGCTGTTTTCCTTTTCTCTTTTCCTTTGAGCCAACTTGAAAGGTGCCACCACACACAGTCATGCACCCAGACATTAGATCAATGGCAAAGATTTATAGGACATTATACAGATTATACGAGCTCATGGCAATCATAAGCTCGCAATACTTATCAATCTAGTCCATTTTTTTTTTTGATAAATCAATTTAGTCTGTTCAAAGTGAGATGAGTAGGCTGGATTAGCTAAAGGACACCAAGTGATCCATAGGATTCGTCTATCTTTCTCCACAGTACAGCTACAGCAGGAGAAAGTAAGAAAACAAATCTAAATCATAAATAGCCAATGAAGTCGAGAACGATTGAGACTATGATACAAGTAAGACAACAAAAATCTAAGCAAATGAAAGACCTACCTTATAGTAGCATTGAGCTCCCGCATTTTTTCAATAAAGTCATCTCTGCATAGACAAGGAAGAAATACCCAAGATATACAATGCAATAATGGAATTTCTTCTTTCAGAAATATAGCTCAAAAAAAAAAAAAGTAATGCTGAATTTTCACCGTAAAGCTCCTTCTTCATTCTTTGCATAATTTCAAAGTAGTACCATATGCAATGAATACAAAGAAAAAAATATGAACATCATTACAATACAAAATCGGAGAAAAAAAAAGGTACAGGCATCACTATACCTTAACAGCCTCTAGATCAGATCCAACGGCAGATATCTCGTCCTGAATCAGAGAAATCCTAGCCTGAAAAATCACAGTCAATCAAAACCTAATCATATTGTAACGGAATTCAAGCCAATTCTAACAAAGTTTTGAAGAAATCGATCTAATTAACTTAGTTGAGCAGATATTCAAGCAAATTTCATTTGAATTTGCAAAACCTCTAGGGCTTGAATTGAAGCTTTGTTCATAGACAATTCAACTTCGTAGCCTTTTATCTCTTGCTCAGTAGTTTCCTTGAGACGCTTTGCACATTCGAGCTCTGCATTCGCTGCATCGACTTCGGCTCGAAGCTCTTGGATTCGCTTCTTCAGATAAACAATTCTTCTCTCTGCATCTCGAAACAGGCTCCGATACAAAATCAATTCCATTTGTCATTCAATTGAAACCTTGAACTCTCAATTTATGTCGTCTTTTATCACCTTTTCTCGGCAAACAAACGGAATGTGGATGCAACAGCAAAAAAAAAAAACGGAATGTGGATGAGCTAGACATTACCTCCTTGAGATTTCTCGGTTGCGAAGTCGCGTATCAAGGTCAGGATCTGCTTCTGCGGATCAGTTGCCGCCATGGCTTCGAGCTTTCTGTTTCCCGCTCTTTTTCGCGAAAGGTTTGAAATTCGGTAATAGCAAACTTCGCCTTGAGCTCTATACAAATCCTGTTTCAATTCACGCTTTGAGCGTGGTCCTGTGTCTCACGGCCTCACCGAATTTATTTATAAGGAAAATATTATTTAAACTTAAAAATTTAATGTGATTTATTATTTTATATACTTAATTAATTATATATTAGGTAGGTTTTTTCAGTTCAAAGGCCGAAGGGTATTTTAAGTTCAAAGGCCGAGGGGATGATGGTATCTAATGTAAGATTGTTAAAATATAATACAATTCGATAAAATGGCATAAATACAATACAAAATTAGAGGATTTAATTTTTCTTTAAATCACCTATTTTATAAACATCTAGACCTGATATAACACGATTAATAAACGAATCGAATATGAGTAAAGTCAATTAAAATAAATACAAATCACACGGACCTTTCGTTTATCGAATTGAAATGACACTATTCACTCGAGATGAATTAATAAATAAATCAATTATGAGTAGAATATTTTTTGATACAAGTCTATTAAAACTTGATATAAACTCGTCTTACCCGATGCGATAGAATAGGGCTACTCTTAGGTAATGGACATAAAAAATATGATTTTTTTTTTGTACAAATAGTGTCTTGTTCAGTTTTTTAAGTGTGTTATATGTTATGAAACCAAATCATATGGTGGGTAAAAAGCAATTTTTCTAAAGAATACACGAAGACAAGTTTTAGAGCTCGATAAAATATACGAAGACTTTCAACGTATATGGATAACTAATCGCCCGTTATTCCAGAAAGTATAATCGTCGGTCAATGGGCAGCAACGGTAAATATGGCAAGCTAAAAAATTTGACTGCCCGTTTTAAAATATTCATAAAATTTCGTTTTGATTCCTTAATTTACAATCTTTTCATGTTGATCGTTGTAGTTTTCCATCCATCTGTTTTTAAATGATAAATTAATTATTCTGTCAAAACAATATACGGAAGTGAAAATTTGACACTTGTAATACAAAGTAAGCTCGTAAATCATGTTGAATTAAACGAGTTTGAGTCGAGTTTTAATAAGTTCGTGTTAAAAAAAATATTTCATTCATACCTAATTTATTCATTAATTTGTGCCTAACGAATCGTATCATAGAGCGTGTGTCGTGTATAACTGTTATATAAACAAATCGTGTCGTGCATTTCTGTTTATTGATTTCATTCATACCTGATTCATTTATTAATCGTATCGTGTCGAGTTGAGTTCACTTGTTTATTAAACAGATGGCTCAAGAAAAAACCAAACTCATTAATTCTGTGTCGTGCTCGTGTTGTATTAATATATCGTGTCTTATTTTGACACCCTATTAACAAAGGCGTAGAGTGCGGGCTCAATTGTATTTAGACGGCAAAGTTTGGGCTCATATACATGTCCAAGTACAGCGAGTGTAGCTAACAAATGAGGCTTGGGCCAAGACCCATTCTTTGCTCTTGTGGGCTGCGGCTTCGGCACCGAACCATATGGCTAGAAATCATAGACATCGGAAATCTGATAAAAGGGTTCATGATTGGATTTAGTTTTAGTGGACTTGATTGGTTAATAAGTAGATCGTTTAGAACCTTAAAGATTGTTCAAGTGATAACAAAAATCAGAGCGGTCCAACAAATCTGGAGGTCCTAAACAAGAATAAAAAATGGGACCCTATTAATAGGCAATAATTATTAAAATATATTTATTTAAAAGTTATTTTTCTAGCTTTTTGAGGTGTAAAAATATTAATTAAATTTTTTTATTCAAGTTTTGATAATATATCCTTTTCAATGGATAATATAACTAATTCATTTAATATTTCTTGTGACATAGTTAATCGGAGATAATATTTTATTTATTTAAATTTTGAAAAACTTTTTTTTTGTCAAAACAACTGTTACTGGTATTGTAAACAATCTTCTAAAAGTTATACATGCATTTGGAAAAGAATCTAATCGTTTTATATAATTTAGGGTTTTTGTTGGAGTGTTAATTTCAGATTGTAGGACTTTTCTTAATACAATGAATTCTTGAAATAAATTTAAACCATCAATATCAGAAAATAAATCATATTTCAAAAAAATTTCAAAGTTAAGACAATAACTTTTCAAATTATCATCATCTAAGGATTTTAATTTTTTAAAACAAAATAAAAAATAAAAAATATTTTCATATATTTTGAATTGTTCAAATTTATTCTTAATCGAAGAAATAGCTAAATCAACTATAAATAAAAAATACTCAATTCTAAAAGATTCTTCAGTCGATAGTGTTACTGCATTCTCAATTATAGACGAGAGAGATGTTAAGAGATAGAAGTTAAGAGAGNAGCTCGATAAAATATACGAAGACTTTCAACGTATATGGATAACTAATCGCCCGTTATCCCAGAAAGTATAATCGTCGGTCAACGGGTNTAATCGAAGAAATAGCTAAATCAACTATAAATAAAAAATACTCAATTCTAAAAGATTCTTCAGTCGATAGTGTTACTGCATTCTCAATTATAGACGAGAGAGATGTTAAGAGATAGAAGTTAAGAGAGAGAGAGAGAGAAAGACGTTAAGAGATAGACGTTATTAGTCATATCTATCTTCCTTGTTGCAGAAGTCTATCAGTCTTCTATAACTTACAAGAAGTTTAGCCGTCTACAATAATTGGCAAGCTGAGTAATTTTTTAGATAAATAAAATTTCAACCCTCTCAAATTGGTTCATCCAAAATATATATATGTAGAACTAAAACTCTACTTGAGGCCCCCAAAATTTTGCAAAAATTGGGGGCGCTAGACCGTCAACTAAGTGGCTTAGGCCTAGGCCCAGCCTTGTAAAAACTAGCATTAAATTTAGACATTTTGAATTCAAATCTTAGCAATTCTTTGAGACTAGGCTAAAATATATTTATCTTTTATGAATATCCTAGTTTCGATATAAATGGTTTATATTTGACCAAATCGAGAAAGAGATTAGTCAAGGTGCTCACCTAAATACTCTTAACCGTTAAACAAAAAAAAAAAAGTTAGATCTGTTAGATCTATTAAAAGCATATGCTATGCAAAACAACAGTGCGCACTAAATCATTTGTAATTGTCAGATCAATGAATCCCTAATAGAACAAAAGGATCACTATTATACGAAATTTTGATATAACACGGTGCTGTCTATTAAAAACCATATGGCAAAATTGTTCCAGCGCATACAGTCAAAATCTCGATAATAGTAAGATATTTATGCTACTGCATTGCGTAGATTTTGAGGGAATTGCTGTAAGCCTCTGTAGTGGTTGAGTTTGATAAAATTTCTGCCTTTCTGCTACATTGCAGGATATTCAGATCTTGACAAGACCAACTTATCTACGTTATCACCTTGACTGAATTTAAATGGAAAACAGATGCTTCAATGGCCAACTCATAAGCAACAGAGGCTATTATGATTCCTCTTGCAATTAAAGCTTTGGGAAAGTGGTCTTCTTTTAAGAATGTATATATATTTTTGTTTCACTAGGATAACGAGCTCATGGACGTCAGACATGCAGCGATTAGAAATTTGAGTGCCAAAATCATTCTCTGTGAAATCGGGTTAAAACCGTTTAATACTTCTCTTAGATTTCGTCAATACATGGAAGCTTGTTACACCGGCACTGGTAAATTGAGTGTAAGTTTTTTTTTTTTGTTTCAACGGATAGGATGTTCGGGTTAATTTATGTGTATTTCGATTAATTTTTTCTCCGATCCGATCAAAAACAAGTCATCCACGCCAAGACTTAGGATATTTATAAGAGATAAATCTCTTATGACTTGAGTTTAAGGGGTTATCAACATTTGAACTTTGAACATTTAAGTTTACAATTCATTTCTATTACCATTTTAATATTATACTAATAATATTAGGATTTAACGAGTAACCAAAAAAAAAAAAAAAAAAAAACAACCACCCAATTCACAGAAGTAAATGACAATGACTCTGCTTGCAGATAATATCTGCATATGGCCAAGGACTGCGCGCAGCAGATCATATACATTGATGAAACCCTTTGAAGGATTCAAAAGGTAGGTACCTTGAAACTAACAAGGAAAGTTGTTTATTTAGAATTAGGTCCATGTGAAATTCTTGGAATTGGTGATCAAAACTTATCCATATGACCCATATTAAAGCCTAAAGAACAGAATTATTATTTTTTTTATTTATGGACAAAAATATACAGACCAACTTATAATAGAATTATTTTTATTCATAAAAGAATGCAATGTAAAATAAGAGTGACCCTTTTGCTCCAACCAAAAAAAGTTAAAAAAAAAAAAATTTGGAAAGATATGATGAATTCTTGAAAATAAAGATTATGATCTATCGGTACTCGTCGGATAACGTATAAGTGAGCCTATTAGCACTACAAGATGGATGTCTTTTTAGAAAATCAAAAAAAAATATATTGAAATAATCAAAATATATAATAATGATTCTCAATAAAAACCGATAAAATAATACCCTTCAAAAATATCACTTTTTGAGTGCGTTTCCAAAAATATGTGACAAATACTAGAAAATCAAGATTATAACCCACCAATACCCGACGGAGAACGTATAAGTGAGCCTTATTAGCACTACACGATGGATATTTTTATTCTTGCAGAAAATCGGAAAAAAATGTATTGGAATGATCAAAATCTATAATAGTAATTCCCAGTAAAAATCGATAAAATGACACCCTTCAAACGAAAACACTTTGTGAGTGCATTTCCAAGTTGAAAGCAACAAGTCACAACATCAACCATTGTATTGCGGCCACTATTGATCAACACATCAAGCAAACCATTTCATGAACATTTAGATTGGGTTTTGGCCGACTGACCTAAGCCATGTTGGGCACACACATCTACCATAAAAAGCAGATCACTGAGTTCAGTCTTGTCACATAAACCATAATTTATGGCATAATAAAACCATGACTTTCTCTATCCTT